GACAATTCTCAAAAACAATAAAATCCGTTAAAAATTAAAATCTTAAAAATACCGAATTTAGCTGTTAGATTAGGGTCCATACGACGTCATGAACTTGCATAGGTAACATTTGTCATAAGCCATTACAATATTCAAATGCGAAACTTAAAAAAATCGGTGAATAATGTAGCTAAAATCATTAAAATACCGAATTTGAAACAATTCCGAAGAATAATGTCGCTAAAATCATCAAAATACCGAATATCGAGAGGTACCTTTATATGAGGGCTATACGAAGATGTGGACCTGCACAGACAATCTCCTGCCATAGGCTGTAGTATCCATTACCAACTTCAAATACAAAATTTGAAATAACTCCGGTAAATAATGTTGCTAAAATCATCAAAATACAGAATATCGGGGGTACCGTTATATGGGGACTACACGAAGACGTGGACATACGTTTTCTGTCTTAGGCTGTAGTATCCATTACGAACTTCAAATACCAAATTTGCAACATTTCCGTTAAATAATGTCGCTAAAATCATCAAAATAATGAATATCGAGAGGTACCGGGGGCTTTACGAAGACGTGGACCTGCACAGACTCTTTTCAATCTTAGGTTGTAGTATCTATTACAAACTTCAAATGCCAAATTTCAAACAATTCCGGTGAATAATGTCGCTAAAATCATCAAAATACCGAATATCGGGAGGTTCCGTTATGTGGGGGCTATACCAAAACGCGGACCTACATGACCCATTTTTAATACCAAAAGTCCTGCAGACATAATATACATTTGAGTAAAATTTTATCAATCTTCTTCATTTCGTTTGAAATCGACATAGAATTTTTTGCTGATCAAGTATATATATACTTTGTGAGGTCTAAAATGTATATTTCGAGGTGTTACAAACGGAATGACAAACTTAATATACATAATATACTCCACTATACTATGGTGGAGGGTATAAATATATATATATATCGAAGCCGAGTTCCACCAAATGGAAACGTACGTCCTGAAATTCACTCCATTTGGGCTGATATTAGCCATTATTTACACAGTAAACTTGAAATCGGATTAAGGATAGATATGGAGGCTTTATCCAAATATTAGCCGATCTCGCCAGCATTTGGCAAAAGTATCTCCGAACTCTATAAGATATCTGGTACCAAATATCATTGTTGTGAAATGAATATTACGAATGTGAGAGACTTAAACACCAAATCGGATGAAACATATATATGAGAGCTATAGCCACATCTGAACCAATTTTCACCAAATTCGATGTACTTTCTTCTAGACTGAATTTGGTGGGATATACCAAAATGCACAATTAACTCGAAATCTGTTGAAGATATATATTGGAGCTATATCCAAATCTGAACCGATCTTGAAACTTGTTCCTTGGTCCTTGGATAGTTCTCTGCAGGTATATTTTTGACATACTGGGAACACAAACTGATAATTTACAGGAAAATTTTAATTAAAACACCCAAAAATACATAAAATCTGCCAGTTCAATTATATGGGGTTATACCAAAAGGTGCATCTATGTGGGCCATTTTCAATACCAATATTTTATCAACCTACTTCATTTCCTTGGGAAGCTAGATTGATGGACAGACTGACGGACGAGCAGACATCGCTTAATCGACATAGATTTTTAGAGTCTATCTAATTCGCCAACGTGTTAAGTATATATAGCATTATTTATTCATATAGCTAGATAGGGTATATATCTTTTGATACGGCCAAAACGTGCCTCATGGAAATAACGGTTCTAGACCATAGGCCTTTTTGGACCAAATCAGTTTCAGGACATTTGGAGTCGATCCATCCGTCCATCTGTCTGTTGGTCTGTCTGGTTGATGCGCATGATAACTTTCGAAGGCAGTATCCGATAAGGTTCTAACGTGGTACATCAGAATATTATTATTTAACTTAGATCGAGTTAGGAGAACGGCAATATCCTTCTGGTACCTCCATCATAAAAGGTCGAAAATTAAAAAAAAAATATTGCACAGAAAGAGAAAGGATAATACAATTTAACGCAAATTTACATATCATAGTATTTGCATCAGTCCTAGGTCAGGTGCGAAAATGGACGATATCGGCCCACTCCATCAGGTACCACAAAGGGTAAAAATTTTGAATAGTTATAAATCTTATTAAATGTGACGGATTGTTTTCACATTACACACATCACAATATTTTTATGAACCCATGATCTAGTGTAAAGGTGGAATATATCGGTCCACTCCTTCTAAAGCTCAAAAAACGCGAAATTAATATCCGATTATTTTAGACTTGGCACATCTCAATACTTCCATCAACACAAGATTTGTTTTAATGATGGTAGAGAACAGACCATTCCTTCTGGTATCTCCTCCACATAGGGCTCAAGATTTTGAAAAACAAAACGCTCAAAGAAAGCGAAGTGAGCATTCAACTCTCTTCAAATTTCATACACTCAATCATTTTTGTTAACACAAGATCTGTTCAGAAGATGATATACATCTGCCAAACTCTTCTAGTACCTCAGCCACAAAGGTTCACAATTTCCAATACTTATATCTGTCATAACTTGCGAAACAACTTGCTATACCTAAATATTTCTCAACCATTAATCTGATATGAATATGTAATTTATCGAAATTTATGATTTTCTATTTAAATTATATGAAGTATGTAAACTGAACATTCGGTTCGCTAAATCTGTTACCTCACGCATATTTCTACATTTTCCGAAAATTTGCACATATCTCATATAAAGTACAGGAAGTAGTCGATGTAGTCCAAATCTGCCACGTTATAATATTTATATCTGTCTTAGGTCAGATACGAATTGGTCAATATTGGGCAACTGCTTCGGAACCTCCCTCATAAAGAGTCAAGAGTTTGAATAATCATAAGTCAAGGCTGGGGGTATACATTTGTAGGCAAACCCGACTGATACTATTTGATTTGGCTTTACCCAATACCTCAATACTATGGAGGGTATATTAAGTTTGTCATTCCGTTTGCAACACCTCGAACTATACATTTTAGAACCCAAAAAGTAGATATATTCTCTGTCTGAGTAGGTGAAGTAGATTGATAAAAAATTCTCAGATGTAGTTTAAGTCCGTAATTGGTCATATGTGTCTAAATTTTGGTAAAGCCCGCATATATCGATACCGAACAATTTTAGCAGTTTTGGGTGTTTTGGTCATAGTTTGTATCCCTACATAGGATTTTCCATATAAGTTCGAGTTTAAACTGTACCTCCCGATATTCGCTATTTCGGCGTTTTATGGCTTAAGAATGGTTCAATTTGAAAGCATGCACATATATATGGAGGTATACCTACACCTGAACCGATTTATTTCATATTTTTGGTGACTTTTCATGTCAAATATTTTTATACCCTCCACCATACTATGGAGGGTATATTAATTTTGTCATTCCGTTTGTAACTCCTTGAAATACTCATGTCAGATCCAACAAAGTATATATATTCTTGATCAGAGTAAAATTCTAAGACGATTTAGCCATGTCCGTCTGTCTGTCTGTGTGTCTGTCTGTCTGTCTGTTGTAATCACGCTATCTTTCGAACAAATAGAGATAGAATGCTAAAATTTTGCAAACATGTATATTTTGCCAGTAGGCAGGTTAAGTTCGTAAATGGGCCATGTAGGTCCAAGAAATCATATAACCCCCATATAACGGTACCTCCCGATATTCGGTATTTTGATGATTTTAGCGACATTGTTTACCGGAATCGTTTCAAAGTTGGTATTTGAAGTTCGTAATGGATACTACAGCCTAAGACAGAAAATAATCTATGTAGGTCCACGTCTTCGTATTGCCCCCATATAACGGTAGCCCCCGATATTTGGTATTTTGATGATTTTAGCGACATTATTTAGCGAAATCGTTCCAAATTTGGTATTTGAAGTTCGTAATAGATATTGCAGCATAAAACAGAAAATGGGCCATATAGGTCCAAGTCTTCATATAGCCCCCATATACCGTACCCCCGGATATTTGGTATGTTGATGATTTTAGCGACATTATTTACAGGGATTGTTTCAAATACGGCATGTGAAGGTCGTAATGGAAAATTGTCTGTGCAGGTCCACGTCTTCGTATAACCCCCATATAACGGTACCCCCCATATACGGTATTTTAATGATTTTAGCTACATTATAAACAGATTTTTCTTCAAGTTTCGCATTTAAATATTGTAATAACTTATGACGAAACTTGCCTATGCAGGTCCACGTCGTCGTAAAAGCATTCGGAATTCTTAAGATATTAACAGAATTTTTAACGGATTTTATTTTTTGGAAATTGCCAAATTTTGTACCAAATGGTGGAGGGTATTAAAAGTTCGGCCCGGCCGAACTTACAGCATTTTTACTTGTTTGTCTTTGGCTATCTTCCTCGAATGGGAATGTTTTTTGGAACTATTTTGCCTTAACTGAGATCGACTTTAACCTTAATTTGTGTTTTTTGATTTTTTTTTTTTTGATTTTGAAATGATGATTTTTTAGAATACTTCGATCTGTGATCATTCCAATGGATTTTGACCGTGTTTGAAGAAAGGGATCTAAAACATACTTTTTGTGACTGGACTGAGGGTTAATTTGTCATACAAACTTATTTTCCAGATTTTTGTCAGTAATATTGCCAAAGACACTATATACCTAAAATGCATGGATTTCAGGTAATCTTAACATGAATACATTCAAAATTTGTCAAATGATGAAACATCCTTGGTTACCTCCCGGTGTACACTCTACTTTCATAATCTACTTTGTTTTTAGTTAGTGTGGGTCACATTCAGATGATGTCTACATATAACCGTATATGCATATTTTATTTAATATTTTAAACTTTTTGGACGAATTTGCCAATCAAAACTATTCAACTTATTTTTTTCTGAAAATATTTTGTTTTAAGTTCTCAGCTTTTTAATTTTTTGCCTCTTAATTTCAACTTAGAAGAAAAAACCCTTTTTCAATTAAAATATTTTGATGTTTTTATTTACAATAAAATGCATGAATGGAACTTAAATAACTAAATTAAACTAATGTTTGGAGTTTTGATAGCGTGTTGAATGGGTAATTGGACTATTCGAAAGTTTTGCAATGGATCACAGTTCATTACTGGCTTATTGCCAGCCATGGGAGGCACCGGCACTGCCGTAACCGCCAGCACCACCATGACCTCCCAAGGCACCGATAACCTTGAGGGATTTCAAAGTTTCCAAAGAATCATCGAAACCTCCAGCACCGCCAGCTGAATAGCCGCCTTGGGCGCCACCTTGTTCATGGACAACTTGAATTGTCTTGACTTCTTCGGCACCGCCACCGTAAGAGTAACCACCATCACCGCCAGCAGCAGCGCCACCCTGTTCATGGATTACTTGGATGGTTTTAACTTCTTCGGCACCACCATGACCATGATCGACGGGTGCGGCTTGTTCATGGACAACTTTGATGACTTTTTCTTCGGCATGGGAATGGACGGGAGCAGCTTGTTCATGGACAACTTTAATGACCTTTTCTTCGCCATGGGAATGAGCGGGAGCGGCTTGTTGGTGCACAACCTTAATGGTCTTGACTTCGGGAGCAGGAGCAGGAGCACCGTGACCACCATGACCGCCATCGGCATGGATAACTTTAATGGTTTTAACAGCACCACCATGACCGTGACCATGTCCATGTCCACCAGCAGCGGCACCACCTTGAGCATGAATAACCTTAACGGTTTGTACTGCACCACCATGGCCATGACCATGACCGCCGCTATAACCACCGGTAGAGCCACCATTAACTTGAATTACTTTAACAGTTTGGGCAGCACCAGCACCACCATGATGATGGCCTCCATGACCGCCGGCACTGTGACCACCTTCAGCATGAATAACTTTGACGGTTTGTACAGCACCACCATGACCATGTCCATGGCCATGACCACCACTGTAACCACCAGCAGAGCCACCGGAAACTTGGATCACTTTAACAGTTTGGGCTGCACCACCACCATGATGATGGCCACCACCATAACCTCCATGACCGCCACCACCGGCAGCACCGCCTTCAGCATGGATAACCTTGACGGTTTGTACAGAGCCGCCATGGCCATGATCGCCACCGCCATAGCCGCCTCCACCATAACCGCCGCCTCCAACACCACCGCCGCCAATAAATCCGGCGGAGCAGGTTGCTACCAAAACTGCCAACACACAAACGAAAGCCTGAAATCGCCCAAAAGAACATCCAATTAGTTTCCATCTACAAAAGCGAACTCCTGGCCTCCAAGTCTTACCTTCATTTTAGGATTCTTCCTGCTTAGTTTGATTGGAGAGATCGAAGAAGTTCCTTGTTAGTTGTGTTTCGTTGAAATTGAAACTGATGCCGATACGATGCGTCCGATGGCATTTTATATGAATAGCGTTGGTCGAATTTCAGAATAAATTAAATCGAAATTATCAAAAATAGAAATACCAACCCAAGCTCCAGCAACAACAACATTACCATAGCCAACTGCATTGGATAACCCCAGCTATCCGGCCGTTTGTTTGTTTTGATTTACAGCATCGTAAATAAGTTGACGTCCCACTAAACTGAGCTGAACTGACCTGAACTATAATAACAATGGCCTAATTATTATGCGATATTTTGTTCGTTCTCCCCTCTCTCTCCCTCTCTCTGGAGATGCTGCAGTTGTTGTTGTTCGACATTTAAAAATTAATGGATTAAAATTGTTATTAGTTTTGATTTAATTTCTTAATTTAAATATGTTACACAATTTTTGGGCTGCTACTGTTGTTAATGATGGTCCCAATTAAATTGTCACAGGGGCCTGTCTGATAATCATTTGCATTTTTGCCAGAAAACCAAAAAAAAAATGCTAGGAAGGGTTCCAGAAAGTCGAGAGGCTTTTTGATCCATCCCAGAAGCTGTGGGTCAATCTTTTCGATGATTGTTCGGAGCTAGATTTGATATATATATCAAATTACTCGGAATATATCAGTTAATTTTTGATTTTTTGTGGGAATGATAGCAAAAAGAAGGAACCGTGTAAAAATATTGGCATGTGAAAACTTTGAAGACAATAGGCATTCCACTCCCTCCTTAAGGTAGTTATTATTATTGAAAGTGTTGACCTTTTATAGGATGAGTCTTATCTTATCTTAAAATAAGTAAAAAAGCTGTAAGTTTGGCCGGACCGAACTTTGAAAACCCCCCACCATTTGGTACAAATTTAACCATTTTCAAAAAAAATAAAATCGGTTAAAAATTCTGTTAAAATCTTGAAAATACCTAAAGTAGCCGTATACTAGAGTCTATACGACGGCGTAGACCTGTATAGGCAACTTTTGTCACAAGCTATTACAATATTCAAATGCGAAACTTAAAAAAATTGTTTATAATGTAGCTAAAATCATCAAAATACCGAATATAGGGGGGTACCATGGTGGTTATAAAACGTGGATCTGCACAGACAATTTTCTGTCATACGCTGTAATATCCATTACGAACTTCAAATGCCAAATTTGAAACAATTCCGGTAAATAATGTCGCTAAAATCACCAAAATGCCGAATATCGGGGGGTACTGTTATATGGGGGCTATACGAAGACGTGGACTTGCACAGACAATTTTCTGTCATAGGCTGTAGTACTCATTACGAACTTCAAATGCGAAATTTGAAACAATTCCGGTAAATAATGTCGCTAAAATCATGAAAATACGGCATATCGGGAGGTACAGTTATATGGGGACTATACTAAGACGTGGACCTACATTTTCAATACCAAAAGTCCTGCAGACATAGTACACAGTTGTGTAAAATTTTATCAATCTACTTCATTTCGTTCGGAAGCTAGAGTGATTTCCACAGACGGATAGACGGATAGACGGACAGAGGGATAGACATTGATAAATCGACATAGAATTGTATGCTGATCAAAAATATATATACTTTGTGGGGTCTAATATGTATATTTCGTATATGTATATATATATGTATATATTATTTTGTTACAAACGGAATGCCAAACATAATATATCCTCCATACTATGGTGGAGGGTATAATAAAAAGTATCAATCGGTTTTGCCGACAGATGTATGCCCACAATTTTTGATTATTTAAATATATTTTGGCATCTGTTATGATTATTCCAATTTTCAACCCTATGGAGTAGCTTCCGAAGAAATAGGCCAATGTTGTCAATTGAGCCAATATTGTCGGACCTAAAAATATGATATAAATATTGCGACGCGTCAGATTTGGACTATATTGGTTACTTCCTTCTCTTTATATAAGGTTTGTGATAATTTTTAGAAAATCGAACATTTATATCGAAATTTTATGCGAAATCATAAATTCCATATTTATCTCCGGGTTCTGATTGAGAGGGATATTTATATATAGCAAGTTGTAAAGAATCGCTGACTTGTTTCGCAAGTTATGACAGATAAAAGTATTGAAAATTGTGACTCTTTATGGATGTGGTACCAGAAGGGGTTAATAGAAATATATCACCTTGACAACGGATTTTGTGTTAGCATAAATGTTTGTGTGTGAGTAAAATTTGAAGAGAGTTGCATGCTTATTTCGTTTTCTTTGAGGATTTTGTTTTTCAAAATCTTAAACCCTATGTGGGAGACATACCGACCCGTTCCCTACCATCTTTATAACAGATCGAAATATTGACATGTACTAAGTCTGAATGAAATCGAATGTTAATTTCGCGTTTTATGAGCTTCATGGATATATTTAAAATGTTAACCCTTTATGGGGGGAGGGAACAGAAGGAGTGGATAGGATGTGTGAAATATCAAGAGGACAGGATGCTTATTTCGGATTTTATGATCGTCAAAGTGCCAATAAAACCGCCACACGCTGCCCGAATGTTGCTCTGCTTTTTTCTGGCCCATTCCCGGCGAAGGGCTTACTTGGTGATCAACACTTTGGTATTTTTTAGTGCCAACCTTGCTTTCCAAAAAACTCCAGACACAATAGTCCAACGGATTGGCATCCGAAGATTTTGGTGGCCATTGTGCGCCGGAAATAACTATATAACTGTAACTATTCTTGAGGGGCGCGTGGTGAGTGCGATGGTTATGAGGCGCCGGCACTAACATAACAGCCAGGACCACCATGACCTCCCAAGGCACAGATAACCTTGAGGGATTTCAAACTTTCCAATGAATCATCACCACCAACACCGACAGCCGAATAGCCACCTTGGGCGCCACCTTTTTCATGTACAACTTGAATGGTCTTTACTTCTTCGGCACCGCTACCATAAGAGTAACCACCATCACAACCAGCAGCAGCACCTCTCTGTTCATGGATTACTTGGAAGTCCTGTTGGAATGTCCAAGGTCTGCGGTCAAAATGATTTCGCGCCCATAATATTCGACACTTATTCTGACGAAGTGATTCACGGTCGATTAATACAAGCGGAGAGCGACCATCGGCGGCCAACACCATCACCATGGCCGGTGCTTGAGTTCTGGTGGCCTTTGGCAAGTAAACACGATCATTTTGGTTGTTTACAAATTGCTGGAAACGAATGTTTTCTCATTGGAGAAAAAAAAGTCGGCAGTTCAACACTTTCTGCCAAGCTAAGTAACTCTTTAGCTCTTTTGAGTCTATTTTCTTTCTGGTGCGGTGTAAGTTCTTGCACTTTTTGCAATTTCTATGGTTTTACCCCAAGCTCATTTTTCAATATTTGCCGAATGGAATATTGCGATATGTTCATCTCACGAGCCATTTTTCGGCCACTTCGACGCCGGTTTCGATCAAGTCGCTTCTTTACTTTTCGAACCATTCTGCTGATGTTGCTCTTTTATTTCGTCCACTTCCTTGACGTCGGGATACGCTACCAGTATCAGTAACGGTAACGAGCGATGGTACGAGACACAAAAGATTTATTCACATTTAAATGCTGGAGTGCTCTAACGATAGCCACTTGTGGTTTTCCAGCCAACACCTGTCGGACGAGTGGCTTAGAAATTACAGCAGTCTGAAGATGGTTGCAGGATTTTCATCTCACCATGTATATAGATTGATTGAATTATGAATTAAAAATTCTCTACGAACTGTTTGCGCTGATTAGAATAAATTATATAATGTGATTTCTTCTTCCGAACCTTTGCATGCCTTAAAAAACTTAATTTTGTGTTGTTTATAGGCAAAATCTCTTCTAGAATTAGTTTAAGTGTAGTTGTGATGCCCTTCATGTTTTAAACTTTTTAATTGTTTAGCCGGATGCTATAAAATAGCCGGGTTCCTGAGTCTACAAGACTCCCCATATTTCAGATTGTGGGTGGCGTTCACCACATTTTAGGGGGTTTTATATTTGGAGCACTATAGTTCAATTTATGATGAATATGAAATTTAATGTTACTTTCAGACGTCAAATCGAAAAAAGGCAGAGAAAAAATTTATAAAAAATACCGAAACATTTTCGATTTCTTTTGGCAAATATTTTTTAAATAAGCCTTAGAGATAGAGAATAATTTTACCTGGTGACTTATTTTGAAATTTGATAAAAATAGATTTTTCTTTGACGTCATCCTTATAAAGTGATGCTTTGTAGAAGATTTTTGCATAAACTCACATAAGGTACGACTTTAACCCTAAAATGTGATTTTAGTATATATGAATTCCAGGCTTTTAGTTAAAATTTTGAAATCTAATAGAACCTATAGTAGAATCTCATGACAAACTATTTTGTAGAGTATTCTGACTTGCTACGATCCCGTTTTAAGGAAGCTTTTAACGAGATATTAAAAAAAAAAATAACTAAAAATATCGTGTGAGGGTTAAAATTTCTGATTAAAATAAATCCTCACATCGTCGTCTGTAATATTGCCGAAGATACTATATACCTAAAATCAACGGATTCCAGGGAATTTTAATCCGAAAATTTCCAATAGTTTTGAAGAGGGGTGATCTTGTCTTGTCTCTTTTTTTTTGTTACTTTGCGATGTAAACTTTCAAAAGGCCAATACATGCCTCTGCTATTTTGGCTCTATTTTAAAAATCTGCTACATGTTCCCTGTAATAATTGAAATCAAAATTGAATTTTGTCTCCGAAGTATATATGAGTATATCTAATGTCTAGTCGTAATTTATATGATATGTCCTTTTTTTGAGCGCCTGCACAGTGCACCTACTCAGATCAATTTTAATTATAAATTTCAAAAACGGTAAATCTTTAGTTAATTACTATATTTGGTTTTTCTATGTACAATAAAATATTTCATTGGATCTTACATCTCTAAATTTATCTACTTATCTAAGCTGATGTCTGCAGTTTTGGGAAGGGTGAACGACAATTGGGCTGAGGGAAATGAGGAGTTGATTGATGATTTGAATCACAGCTCAAACATGGTTCATTGCCAGCCATGGCCATAAGAGGCGCCACCATGATCACCACCCAAGGCACCAATGACTTTAAGGGACTTGAAAGTCTCCAAAGGATCATCAACACCACCGGCAACGCCATGGCCATAACCACCATCATAACCGCCTGCGGCACCACTTTGTTCATGGACAACCTGAATGGTTTTGACTTCTTCAGCACCACCGCCATAAGAATAACCGCCATGACCTCCCTCGGCAACACCACCTTGTTCATGAATGACTTGGATGGTTTTGACTTCTTCGGCCCCACCGTGGCCATGATGACCATGGTCAGCTTGCTCATGTACAACCTGGATGGTCTTAACTTCTTCGGCTCCACCATGGCCATGATGATGATCATGACCACCCTGTTCATGGACAACCTTAATAATTTTCTCTTCTGCATGGGAATGCACGGGAGCGGCTTGTTGGTGAACCACCTTAATGGTCTTGACTTCGAGAGCAGGAGCGACGTGACCTCCATGACCACCTTCGGCATGGATTACTTTAATGGTTTTAACGGCAGCACCATGATCATGTCCATGTCCGTGTCCACCACCTGCGTGACCACCTTCAGCATGAATAACCTTAACGGTTTGCACTGGACCACCATGGCCATGATCATGACCACCACTGTAACCACCAGTAGAGCCACCAGCAACTTTAATGACTTTAATGGTCTGGGCTGCACCACCCTGATGATGATGGTGGCCACCACCAACGGCACCGCCTTCAGCATGGATAACCTTGACAGTTTGCACTGGTCCGCCATGATGATGATGACCACCACCACCATAGCCTCCATGACCACCACCTTCTGTGTGGACAACTTTAACGGTTTGTACTGAACCGCCATGGCCATGATCCCCACCATATCCTCCACCGCCGCCGCCGCCAATAAATCCAGCGGAGCATGTCGCTACCAAAACTGCCAACACACAAACGAAAGCCTAAAATCGCACGAAATAAATATAAGTCCTCTTTCAGATTGTATCCGATTTTTGTAATCCTTACCTTCATTTTAGGATTCTTCCTGCTTCGATTTAAAAGGGGGAATTGAAGAAATTCCTTTGAGGTTGTTTTCTGTTTCGCTAAATTCGAAACTGATGCTCTTTCAGTGGCTTCATTGGGGTTTTATAGGAACTATACCGCTTGCATCCAAAGCTACATTGCGTGCATGCAAAACCAGTGGACAACAACAATATGGCACTGTGATCCAATTATCGTTGCCACTCTAGGTGTGGAGTTCCGTCATTTGTTGTTATGCCCATTTTTTTGCAATTTGCCTAAAATATTCATCGCCAAATTTTTATGTTTTGAGCTCTTTAAATATTTGCAGATATTTATGTGGATCACTCGCTGTATTAAACTGTATCGGTAGCTTCCGATTTCACGCATTTTAATTGGGTTATATTGACAACATATTGCAGATGATTTTAAAGTCAATATTTGAACGAAATGGTGGTGACCAACAGAAATGGGAAAATTTGAATTCGAAGTAGAAGGATTCAAGAAGTAGGTCAGGTTGGGAGCATTGTAATTCTTAATTTTTTATGTGTGAATATGTCTGCGAGTCTTGGTCTGAAAACTGCGAAAAATATTTTTGAAAAGTACTGCTATTCGAGAGAAATTAAAAGAGGAACAAGTAAAAAAACTGTAAATTCGGCCTGGCCGAACTTTGAATACCATCCACAAAAAATTTTATCCGTTAAAAAACCTGTTAAAATCTCAAAATTACCGAATGTAGCCATTATATTAGGGTCAATACGACGACGTGGACCTGTATATGCAACTGTTGTCATAAAATCAAAAAATGCAACTGTCCTCAAAAAAAAAAAAAAAAAAAAATCGGTGAAAAATATTATCAAAATACTGAATATGGGGAGGTACCATTATATGGAGGCTATACCAAAATGTGGACCTGCACAGACAATTTTCGGTCTTAGGCTTTGGTATCCATTGCGAATTGCAAATATCAAATTTGAAACATTTCCGGTGAATAATATAGTTTAAATCACCAAAATACCGAAAATAGGGAGGTACCATTATATGGGGGCTATACCAAAACGTGGACCTACATGGCCCAATTTCAATACCAAAAGTCCTGAAGACATAATATACATTTGAGTAAAATTTTATCAACCTTCTACATTTCGTTCGGAAACTAGAGTGATTTCCACAGACAGACGGATAGACGGACGGACATCGCTAAATCGACATTTAATTTTATGCTGATCAAGAATATATATACTTTGTGGGGTCTAAAATGTATTTTTCGAGGTGTTACAAACGGAATGACAAACTTGATATACCATCATTACTATGGTGGAGTATATAACAATTTTTGGAATTTATTACTAGTACTAGGAGAATGGATAGAACCGCAGTTGGATGTCGTACTAAAATGACACAAAATAAGTAAAATAATATCAGACGGTTTTGCCGACAGATGTATACCATCAGCCTTGAGTTGTGATTATTCTAACAGTTGACCATTTATGGGGAAGGTTCCGAAGCAGTTGGCCGATATTGTCCAAATCGTATCTGACCTAAGTCTGATATAAATATTACTACGTGCCATATTTGGACTATATCGCCTACTTCCTATACTTTATAAGAGATGTGTGAGGTACTAGATATAGCGGGCCGAAATATTCCACTTCTCATAAATTCCGACAAATTACATACTCATATCAGATTTGTGTTTAAGGGAAATATTTAGATATATCAAATTGTATAGAACGGCCAACTTGTTTGACGAGTTATGACAGAAAAAACTACTGGAAATTGTGACCCTTTGTGGGTGAGGTACCAGATGACGTTTGCAGATATCTACGATCTTCACAACAGATTTTGCGTTAGCAAAAATGTTTGGATGTGTTTCTTTGATCGTTTCGTTTTTCAAAATCTTGAACCATATGTGGGAGAGTTACCAGAAGAAATGGTCCGATCTCTACCATCTTTATAACAGATCTTGTGTTGATGGAAATATTGAGATGTGCCAAGTATGAATGGAATCGGATATTAATTTCGCGTTTTATGAGTTTTATGGGTATTCAATATTTTGACCCTGAATGAATAGTCCGATCTCTACCGCCTTTATAGCAGATCCTGTGTTGATAGAAATATTCAAATGTGCCAAGTCTGAATGGAATCGGATATAAAATTTGCGTTTTATGAGCTTCACGGATATTAAAAAATGTTCACCCTTTGTGGGGGAGGTACCAGAAGGAATGGACCAGACCTTGGGTTAATAAAAATATTATGAAATTTGAAGACAATCGGGCACTTTCATCATTTTTTAAATTAGCCAGACGGATGGACGGACATCGCTAGATCGACTCCAAATGACCTTAAACGAATTTGGTTCAAAGAGACCTAGGGACTAAGACCGTTATTTCGATGAGGCACGTTTTGGCCCTATCAAATGATATGACTGTAAGTATAAAAAGATAAAAAAAGAACTCTATGCTTTAAAATAGAGCTTGAATTAATAATATCAGCAGGGTTCCTTCGAGTGTGAAGAGGTGATAAACTGCAGAGTGAATTAGAATTTCCAATCGAAATCCATACTCAAGGGTAAGAAAAGTACTAAAAGGTGGATCACTATTACAAAAAGTTTGTCGGATTTTCTTGACTTAACTCTTCGAGGAAAAAATTGTATTGCATTGTTACTGACCGATCAATAGCTTGAAATAATAAAAAAATCTTTATTGAGGCCTTGCAATTTTTTGGTATTTGTACTTTAAAGGAAATCCAAAATTACTAAATTACACAACTTTATTATTGAGCTATAGAAAATAACTAAAAATTTGAAATTTCGAAAGATGATCGATTTAAGGTAAGAACTTTGATAAATCCGTACTCTAAGTGTAACATGATGATTTCATCACATTAGCCAAAAATTTCAATCGCACTCATTATATCAATAGTGATAACAACAAAAAAAAAAAGATCACACGAACAATGCGACGATAGCAATGAGGACAGCATCAGCCAACCACCCCAGTATTCGTTGACTACGTAACTGACAATTCTGCTTTCGACAATATGCCGTTTACGGTATAAGGCAAATAATTCTTATTGTCTTGTTAATGCTGCTCACAACAAGTGTTAGATTTAATTTACGATAAGGTTGGCTTGCTACTCAAGTGAGCTTGCCAAAGGATAGAAGTTTCTGTTGTTTACTTTCTGCCCTCCGACTAACAAAATCGTTAGCTGGAAATACTTTTTTATACCCTTCACCATACATGGTATGGAGGGTATATTAAGTTCGTCATTCCGTTTGTAACTTCTCGAAATAATAATCTTAGACCCAACAAAGTAAGTCTGTCCATCCGACTGTTGTAATCACGCTAGAGCCAGAACGAAGAAAGTTAGGAAGCTAAAATTTTGAACCGATCTGTATTTTGCCTGCAATCAGGTCAAGTTCGAAGATGGGCTATATCGATTAACGATATTGTATAGCACCCATGCAACGGTACCCCCGAATTGTCTGATATTGTGAGTACTATACCCCCTGAAAGAGAATTTTCTATATAGGTCTAAAATATCGTCAAATTACGTCAAATTTCGTATTTGAAATTCATATTGGGTACTACAACTTATCACGGAAAATTGTCTATGCAGGTTCACATCTTAGTATAGCCCACATATAACGGTACCCCCTTTTATTCGGTATTTTGATGATATTAGCGACATTATTCCCCGGAATTTTTTTCGAATTTCGTATTTGAACTTCGGAATCGTTACTGCAACCTATTAAATTAAATTTCAAATTCCTTCCGCATGGCTGGGGGTATAAAAATTTCGGTCCGAAGATAGCTGCTTTTTTACTTGTTTGAACTGGCTCTCATCAAGTTTAGCGGCCTGTAGTTTATTTACACAAGGTCTTCGGTTCGTTGTTCCACAGGAGCTTCCAAAGGGACTTGGACTTGTTGTTCCATAGGAGTTTCGGTGCGTGGTACCGTATCGTAGCTTAAATATTGGTAGTGAATTAGAGTTAGTCATTGGAAGACGATCCAAATAGCAGATTCCGAAAATACCCAAAGTGAGCTACCGAACCTAACCAGTTCCAATCTATCTAAGAAGGTCTAGAAAATTGCTGCCGAACCCGATCGAGTCCCGAATCATCTGAGAAGGCCTGTACATCAACTCCCGAACATACCTACAGTACGATGTCGAACCCGAAGGAATCCCAATCCATCTGAGAAGGCCTGTACATCTGCTTTCGAAATCGAACTATCTAAGATGATCTGGACATCTTTCCCGAATATCTCTACAGTGAACCCACGTACCAGAACAAATATACCACTTGTCCCCGATCCGTATTAGAAGACAAACGACATCTCAACCTCCTACATCGTTAGCAACACCAACGCCGTCTTCAATCCGAAAACCAATATCGTAATTCCTGTTCACATTCAACTCTTCAGCCCCGACTGCCATTCTTCAAAGTTCCCGTTTATAATCGTCATTATCCCGAACGCCGGCATCAATTCGAACACAAACTTTTTAATTCTTGATCATCCTCATGATCATGAGTTATCGATCACCGTCGAACTTGTACATTATCCCCGACTAGTCATACTTCACATAAGACGCCCGACATCGATACATCATAGTTCCCGATTGTCCACAAATCTTTCACCCTCTCATTATGAACCCTAAAATTCCCGAGTGCCTGTGAGACATCGTAAACATCGAATTTCCGATCTATAACTGCATTACTCTATTTTGAATTTCCAAGCAAATCCGAAGTCAATTCGCATTTGAACGCTCGTTGATTGTAATTTAGTATTTAAATCAAGAAAACATCTAATTTCCACCACCAGGAAAGGGGATACTCCTCAATATAAGTTCAGTGGGTCTTTATGGAAATCTTGGATACTTATTTCAGCTGACAAGAAAACCATGTCTATCGAAAGATCACCTTGTCATAGACAGTCCAATTTATTGTTGCTGGCCACAACATATACAATGTAGAACTTGCGGAAAGTAGATAACCGAATTCATCTCTATAATGAATCTTCGCTACTTTAGAGGAAGATGTAGATTTCTTTCTAATTTCTTAGGTCCTCTTCTGTGAATTTTTAAGTTTTTTAGCTATCGGGTTAGTCTTGCCGAGCAATTGTCATCGCTATTCAAAGGCAATTTAGGAGAGTCTCAAAGTTTATGTCTAAGTTTGTCAGCAATATTAACGGTGTTAAGCTCCATTCTTGTTCTTCCGAAGATTCCCCATCCCGCTTCCGAGGAAGACTCAGGGTTTTCTTTGAAACAAATAGCTTTTTTTTATTTCATTGCCTTTACGAGGTTCATACTGGGCATGCGCATCTGTATCTCAGGCAGATTCTTTTTGTGTGAAGTGTGTGGAATAAACATGAATGTCGCAAAATCGAATCAATATTAAATCGCATCGAAATTTAACCGATTAATTTTAAACATTTTCAATTTTTAGTTAATTACTATATTTGGTTTATTTCATTGGATCTTACATCTCTAAATTAAGCTACTTATCTAAGCTGATGTCTATCAGTTTTGGCAGAGTGAACTACAATTGGGCTATGTGGAATGAGGGATTGATTGATGATTTAAAATACAGCTCAAACATGGCTTATTGCCAGCCATGGCCGTAAGAGGCACCACCATGACCACCACCACCCAAGGCGCCGATGACTTTAAGGGATTTCAAAGTCTCGAAAGAGTCATCAACACCACCGGCATCTACATGGCCATAACCACCATCATAACCGCCTTCGGCTCCACCTTGTTCATGGACAACTTGAATGGTTTTGACTTCTTCAGCACCACCACCATAAGAATAACCGCCATGACCTCCCTCGGCAACGCCGCCTTGTTCATGAATGACTTGGATGGTTTTGACTTCTTCGGCCCCACCGTGGCCATGATGACCATGGTCAGCTTTTTCATGTACAACTTGGATGGTCTTAACTTCTTCGGCTCCACCATGGCCATGATGATGATCATGTCCACCTTGTTCATGGACAACCTTAATGATTTTCTCTTCTGCATGGGTATGCACGGGAGCGGCTTGTTGGTGAACCACCTTAATGGTCTTGACTTCGGGAGCAGGAGCAACGTGACCTCCATGACCGCCTTCGGCATGGATTACTTTAATGGTTTTTACAGCAGCGCCATGATCATGTCCGTGTCCACCACCAACGTGACCACCTTCAGCATGAATAACCTTAACGGTTTGCACTGGACCACCATGGCCATGATCATGACCACCACTGTAACCACCAGCAGAGCCACCGGCAACTTGAATAACTTTAATGGTTTGGGCTGCACCACCGTGATGATGATGATGATGGCCACCACCAACAGCACCACCTTCAGCATGAATGACCTTGACGGTTTGCACTGGTCCGCCATGATGATGATGATCACCACCATGATAGCCTCCGTGACCACCACCTTCTGTGTGAACAACTTTAACGGTTTGTACTGCACCACCATGGCCATGATCTCCGCCATAGCCACCACCACCACCGCCAATAAATCCGGCGGAGCATGTTGCTACCAAAACTGCCAACACACAAACGAAAGCCTAAATTGGCAGAAAAGAAATATAATTTCTGTTTATGATTGTATCCTCTTTTGTAATCCTTACCTTCATTTTAGGATTCTTCCTGCTTCGATTTAATGGGGGATTGAAGAAATTCCCTTGAGGTTGTTTTCTGTTTCGCTAAATCGGAAACTGATGCTTTTTCGATGGGTGCATTGTGGTTTTATAGAAACTATTAACTCTGCATAGACTGCATCCAAAGCTATTGGGCAAAAACAACAACAATATGGCACTGTGATCCAATTGACACTACATCTGTAGATGTGGAATTCCGTCATCTGTTGTTATGCCCATTTTTTTTTTTAAATTTGCCTAAAATATTCATTTTGGAATTTTAATGTTTTGAGCTCTTTAAATATTTGCAAATATTTCTGTGGATTAGTCGCTGTATCAACCTGCAACGGTATCTTCCAATATTCACATATTTTAATTGGGTTCATCAATTCAATCGACAGAGAGTTTGGTTCAAGCTTAGGGTTCATAAATGTTTTTAGTTGGGCTAAAGCTCTATCGGTGTTGAGTTCATTTGCACTCAATCATTGGCAACGCCTCCAAAAATTACTTGTGTATCTGCCAGTGCAACTGTAGAAAAAGCCAGGGGAAGCCTTAATAAAATTAATCTAAATTGAATAGTTTTTTTTTTCGAGAACCCCAGTTTATATCTGATGTGGTTGGAAATTGAAACCAAAATCTTCGAAATACTAATAATCAGGAGGTACTGGAAGCTGTACCTAAATAAATACCTACAGGGTTGCCGTTCTCAGCAGTTGGGCATGGTTCGGTCCCCTTTACAACGGATTATTCGCATTGATTTGCATTTGTTCCCGTACAAAATTCAATTGACGCAAAGAATGTTTTTATTTTTTTCTTTGATTTAAAAAAAAAAACATGGGTCCGTCGAATATGGGCAACCCTGTATAGATCCCATCTAACTTCTTAGGAGTACTACAAATATCTGTGCCAAATTTTATTCTCTTAATAGGAAAATTGTAATTGTAGCAAATGGAATGCACTTATAGTGCAGAGCCTATTAAGGCGTTAACTAAGTCGGTCTAGGATTTTTAAATCCCTCACCATGAGGACAATAAAATAGTATCAAAACTCAGTATGCAAACGATTGCTTATACCAGTGACGACGGTAGGAGTAGGTGGCCAGAATCTTAGAAATACCAAAATTTTCTCTGTTTTTGGCAAGTACGTTGACGATTCATAGGGTAGGGTTTGTCGACAGATGTACACCCTCAGCCAATGTTCGATTATTTAAATATACTTTGACTTCGGTTATGATTATTCAAATGTTTGACCCTCTATGGAGTAGGTTCCGAAGGAATGGGCCAATATTGTCCATTTCGTATCGGACCTACATAAATATGATATAAATATTGCGACGTGCCAGAATCGAACTATATCGACTACTTCCTTCACTTATTTTAGATATGTGATAGTTATTAGAAAATATTAAAATATGAGTGAGGTACTAGATATAGTCGACCGAAGTACTCCATTTTCATACTTCATCTAATACAGATCAAAATATTGGTATGAGAAAAATTACAAGAAAATCGAACATGCGAAGTCTCATTGGAATCGGATGTTTATTTCGCGTTTTATGAGATTCAGGGATATTCAAACTGTTGATCCTTTGTGGGGGAGGTATCAGAAGAAGTGGACCGATATATCCCATTTTCCCAGGAGATCTTGTGTTAGTAGAAGCAATGAGATGTGTGAAATATCAAGAGAACCGGATGCGATTTCGCGATTTATGATAGTTTTTTGGTTATTTAAAACTTTAGCCCTTTGTAGGGGTGGTACCAGAAGGAATGATCCGATCTCTACCATCTTTATAACAGATCTTGTGTTGAAAGAAATATTGGGATGTAAAGTCTGAGTGGAATGGGATGTTAATTTCGTTTTATTAGCTTAATGGCTACCAAATGTTGAAATGTTGGGGGAGGTACTAAAAGGAATGGACCGATATATCCCATTTTCACTCTGAATCTTGTGTTAGTACAAATATTGAGATGTGTGAGATTTGAAGAGAATCGGATGGTTATTTCGCATTTTATAAGAGTTATGATTGTTCAGGAGATACTTGATGGAGTGGGCTGATGGTGTTCATTTTCGCACCCGACCTACCACCAATACAAATATTGGGACTTGCAAAGTTTGCACAAATTCGATAACCTTTTCTTGTTCTATACGGTAATTTATTTTTGTGAATATTTTGACCTTTCGTGGAGGAGGTACTAGAAAGAGTGGAAAAAAATTGACCATCTCCGAACTAGATCTAAGTTTGACAATTATATTACGATTTACCAAGTTTGGACCAAATCGGATACTCGCTTCGAGAGTAATCGTTTGCTCCCGCCGGACAAATAGACAGACAGGCGGATGGACGGACACCGCTAGATCGGCTCCAAATGTCCTGAAACGGATTTGTTCCAAAGAGATCTAGGATTTAAAACAGTTTTTTCGATGAGACACGTTTTGGTCGTATTAAATGGTATATACCCTCTGTAGCCATATGCCTGAACCATGCAAAGGGTCAATTGGATTTTTGGAAGGATTATAACTCTTATATAATGCGATGCTTATCCAGTTCTCTTTAAATGTCGCATATTTTTATCAACATATGATATTGTGTGGAGATGGTGCATATCTGTTCACTCCTTAAGGTATCTCCCCCACATAGGGTCAAAATTTTGAATGTCTCCCTTATACAATGTGAAATAAGAGTCCCATAGTTTTCAAATTTCACACATCCAACACAAGATCTGGTATCAAGAACGGATGGAACGGATGTTTCTGGTATCTGCCCCACAACGGGTCATAATTTTGAATTACCATGACGCTCATTAAAGGCGAAATGAGCATCCGATTCTTTTAAAAGTAGTACATCTTAATATTTTCTCTAACACAAGATCAGGTTTGAATATAAATACCTTCCCACAACGGGCCGAAATTTTGAATAATTGCATCTCTCTTAAAATGCGCAGTAAGCATCAGATTCTGTCAAAACTTCGCACATTCCAATATTTCTACATACACAAGGTGTGGTGTATAGATGATAGATATAAGCACACCTCTTTGCTATCTCCCCCACAAAGGGCCACAATTGTCAGTATTTATATATCTCATAAATTGTAGGATTATTTTCAATGTTGGTGCATATAAATATTTCTCTCAACCAGAGATCTTATGTTAATATAAAATTTATAGGCCAACCCCTTTTGGTATTTCCCCTGCAAAAAGTTAAAATTTTGATCAATAATTATTCGCATAAAATTGAAAATAATTGTTGATTTTTTATTTTTCTTTTTTAATTTTTCAGAATATTGTTTTCATTTTTTTTCACCCAATTAGTAATATTTAGTTCTTTTCGTACAGTTAAAATACGCATTTTCAAAGCAATCTTCATATCTCAAGCTCAGATACCAACAGTGGGCATAATATCAGCTCTTCACCTCTTTAATTTCCCCACCATTGCTAAATTTAGTACAATTATAGCATGCATATCCAAAACCAGCTCCTTCTCTCAACCACAGGCACCAACAGTGACATCCATATCAAATTTCAGGATTTCAGCTCTATTCCTTTGCCCAATGACGAATTTAGTACTTTTAGTACAACTAAAGTACACATTTCCATTTCCAAATACCAACAGCGACCTCTAGATCAAATTTGAGGATTCCAGCCATATCCCTACGCATATTACCACATATAGTTCCATTTAGTATTTTTCGTACAAATATAGGATGAATTTCGAAACCACTGCCAAATTTCAAACACTGATACCATCAGTAATCTAAATATTAAATTTTAGAACTTTATTCCTATACCTTCATCCAATACCAAATTTAGCACCATTTAATACTCTTCGTACCAATTACCAAAACCACTGCCAAATCTCAAACCTAGAAACCATCAGTAATCTTAATATTCAATTTCAGAATTTTATCTCCACATCTTCTCTCGATACCAAACTTAGAACCATTCAATACTTTTCGTACAATTATAGTAGACATTTTCGAAACCACCTCCATATGTACAGGCGACATATGAACGGCCAATATTCGACCCAAATACCAAATTTCAGTCTATCTTTTCACCAAATACCAAATTGTACCATATATCGTACTATTTAGTACTTTTCGTGCATTTGTAGTATCCATTTTCAAAACCACCTCTGTATCACAAACCTACCACCAACAGGGGACCCAATACAAAATTTCAAAATTCCAACTTCACTTTAATCCAAACAGTTTGAAATTTAGTACTATTTAGTACAATTCGTACAATTATTGTACAAAATTTTCAAAACCACCTTACTTACTTTCCAACCTTCATTCTCATACCAGATTTCAAGTTTTAAGCTTTATCCCTTCACTTAATACCAAATGGTACCATTTTAGAACTTATCGTAACCTTAAAGTTCGAATTTCCAAAATCCCGTTGGTACATTTATCCTGCACTTCATAGTGACTCACACTCCAAATTTCACACGTCTACGCGCCAAGACTGGCCTCGTACAAAATTTCAAAATTCTAGCTTCACCTGTTTCGTCTGGATTATTCTAGGACACTAATTCAGTTATTATCCTTTTCCTTTATATATATGGATTGATATCTGGACTCCTTCGGCTAAATAAATGGGCAAATAATTCGATTTAAATATAATTTATTTTCTTGACAACTAAAACTAATTACTTAAAACTACAGTGTCTTTGGAGGATGAACAGAAAGTGGCAAGTTCGGCAATATATTTTATTACCATCCATTCCAGCCGCCATGACCACCATGGCCACCAGCTCCACCGGCATTGATTACTTTCACAATTTTGACTTCAGCACCGCCGTAACCATGACCATGGCCATAACTTCCATGACCGCCGTAGACACCGTGGCCTCCAGCATGGTCTTGGCGAATAACCTTAATGGTTTTTACTTCTTCAACACCATGGCCGTGGCCATATCCAGAACCGTGACCATGGCCAACGGCATTGTCCAGATGGATAACTTTAACGTTGTGGACATGATATCCTCCATGACCTTGGGCATATCCATGGCCATGGCTATGACCTTGATCATGTCCCTTGATAACTTTGACAATTTTAACTTCAGGTTGTGGTTCGGCATGAATGACTTTCACGGTTTTTACATGAACATCTCCATGACCATGTCCATGGCCGTAATCATGGCCATATCCTTGACCACCAGCCTGGATCACCTTAACAGTTTGGACATTGACATGATCATGTCCACCGCCATAACCACCTCCGACTGCTGCACCACCTCCAATAAAGCCAGCTGAGCATGAGGCTACTGCCATGGCCAAAATACAAACAAAGAACTGTGAAGAAAGAAATGAAATTAGTTATGTCCTGGTTGATCTCAGGTAAATCTTAATGCTCACCTTCATGTTAGGAATCTTCTTGCTTACTTCCTTTTTGGAGATTTTTTGGAAATTCCTAATTTCGCACTGTTTTGTTAAACAGAAACTGATACCCAAACCATTGATGACTAGTCTTTTTATATTGAAATCACATCAAATGAAGATCATCCAAATATTGAATGTCAATTTTGAAACATATCAATAAACGTAAATATATTCAAATCGTTATTATTCGAAATCTGTAAATCTATTCAAATTCCCCAAAACGACATGCAGCTGGATTCGTGGGTGTTGCAATTTGTAGTTGTTGCCTTTACACCATATGTTGTTGGTGTTGAAAACAATTTTGGCAAAAATTTGCATTTAAATATGAACTGATTTAAACAAGCAGGGTGGGTGTGTAAACAATATCGTTTGGAAATCTTTCCACAGCCGCATGAATATAAATTTGAATTTTAAATTCAAATTCAAATTGAAAAACAAAAAATAAAACACCTTTCCAAGCCCTTCGCCTTGAGATAAGTAGTCATCTTCTTATGTATTTAGAACACTACAATACCTATTTCAGGTCCCTTGGAATGTGGTGAAATGTAAAAATATCCAAAAAACGGACCCAAATTCGTTATATAGGCCAAAACATGGACTTATCCTGAAATTTTATAATTTTTTTTTTGATTAATTACTTAAAATACCAACTAACAGTGACATCCGGTTTAAAATGGATGGATAACATGGGTACTATAGCAAAACTTTGACATTACTGAACATTTCTAGCAAGAGGGTTTTGCCCAATTCAATTAAAAATTACGTAGAACCTTCTACTTGGACCTATGAGGACAATACCGGTTACTAAAACCTTGTTTACGTATTGGATAAGTGTACCAAAATCTGGGTCGACTAAAAAAATTGTTTTGTTTGTTTATCTTTGAAGTAAATGCAATGAATAAAGAGGGATAAGAGAAAATGCTAAGATAAGAGAGCAAAAGATTTGTTGCTTTTTTGATATTTTTATACCCTCCACCATTCTTTTTGTAACTCATCGAAATAATCATTTAGACATAATACAGGGTGAGATAAAAAACTGCAACAAAGTCAAACGCAATCATTTTTATTTTTTTAAATTTTATTGACTGAACGCAAAAAATGTCGAAAAAAGTATAAAATTTTAGAATAAGTTTAGATTTGTTCGAATTGTCACTTTTGGCACCAATTATGGCTTGCTTGAGGTGATCGACACATTGGTATTTTTTAGTGCCAATCTTGCTTGGTGGCCATTGTGCTCTGAAATGAAGCGAGGAACCTCATTTTGTAATCATTCTTGGGTGGCGTGTGCTTATTGCTATGGTGCTGAGTCCTGTTGAATTGTCCAAGGTCTTCGGCCAAAATGTTTGCGTACCCAAGGCTTTAACACACCCTATAGAATATTTGCGCTATAAAATTCGGCCTTTACTCTGATTCCACGGTCGATTAATACGAGCTGAGAGCGACAATCGCCTGTTTTGGCGGCCCACACCATCACCATGGCCGGCGCTTGAGTTCGGTGGCCAACCGATGGTGCACATTTTCAGCTGACCTCTTCGGCAAGTAAACTGGATCATTTTGTTTGTTTACAAACTGCTGGACAACGAATGTTTTCTCATCGGAGAAAACCAAACCAAGTGAAGCAACTCATTAGCTCTTTTGAGTATATTTTCTTTCTGTTGCGGTGTAAGTTCTTGCACTTTTTGGAATTTCAATGGTTTTACCCCGAGCTTCTTTTTCAATATTTGCCGAATGGAATATTGTGATATGTTCAGCTCACAAGACATTTTTCGGTCACTGCGACGGGGGTTTCCATCAAGTCGCTTCTTTACATTTCGAACCATTTCTGCTGATGTTGCTATTTTCTTCCGTCCACTTCCTTGACGTCGGGCTGCACTACCAGTATCACGGTAACGAGCAATGGTACGAGACACAAAAGATTTATTCACATTTAAATACTGGAGAGCACTAACTATAACCCCTTGTGGTTTTCCAGCCAAATATAAAGAAATCACATTGTCACGCTTGAATTCCAACACGAATAACTTTTTTCGGAAAATTCTCACCAAAATGCTTTTGTACGCTTGAAAACAGTATAATGAGCTGTCACTGGAATAATTTTAGCAGCTGTCGGACGAGTAACTTAAAAATGACAGCAGTCTGAAGTCGGTTGCAGTTTTTTCATCTCACCCAGTATATATTCTTGATCAGCGCAAAATTCTAAGAAGATTTAGACCTGGCCGTCTGTCCGTCTGAAGAATAAAGATGGGAAGCTGAATTTTTGCACAGATCAGTCTTTTGTCTGCAGTCAGGTCAAGTTCGAAGATGGGCTATATCGGTATTTTGTCTGCACGGTATCGTATAGTCCCTATACAACCGTACCCCTCGATATTCGTTATTTTGATGATTTTAGCCGCATTTTCAATATTCGGTATTTTCGATGATTGTAGCCAAATGTTTCAATGAAATTGCCAGAAAATCTACAAAGGGCTACCTTCTAAGTAATTTACCCCTTGGAGGATTATTGTCTATATGGGTCCACGATATCGTAAATCCCCCATATAACGCTACCTTCCTATATACCTTCCTATATTCGGTAGCTAACTTTATCAATGTAATTGCCTAAAAATCCATACTAGAAGCTTTCAGTGCACTTTATACCCTGGAAGAGAAATGTCTATATAGGTACCCTCTAAAGGCCTGCAAATGTGACATATTTCTCTATTTATGCCATGGAGAGAAAACGCTCGTCATGTTATGCCCTATTTGATCAAACGCATAACAGTACGTGACAACCAACCAAATGCTTGATGTCTCGTCATGTCGGTCAGAGTAATTATGCATTGGTCATAACATGCATTGACCAATAAATGAGGATGCTGAATGGTGTGTCATACAAATGTGTTCTTTCAAAAAATAGCAACAACATGATACAATTATCAAGGAAAACAGACATTCACATAATTAGGAGGGAAACCAACGCTACCTTATTTTACCATTGCGCTATTCTTAGTAAAAATAATAATGTTCTGACACATTTCCTTAATAAAAAATCCATTTGATTTTTAATTTTGCATTGAGAAATACTATAGAATTTTGTTCTGTTCCAAAACTGCAAGAATGTACAAGATGTTATCAACAAAATTGCAGAACTAGTAGTACACTAGTACACAAACTCTACTCTACCTACGGAATAACACACACTCTTGTACATGTACACAAACGACACACAATTATGTCGATGACATGGTTCACTGTCATCGTCGACATACTGCTTTTTTGAGAACTCCCAGCAAATGGTCGAGTCGATCGTGCCACGATCGAAATGGTGGTTGTTGTTGGATGCCAATGTCGGTCATATACTTACCACATGATTGAGTAGACAAAGTTAGTGTGTCGAAAATAACACAGTTCGTACAATTCGTCTTGAGCTACCCTTTAGTACCCACCGATATTCGATATTTTGACGATTTTAGGAACATTATTCACCGGAGATGTTTTAAATTTAGTATTTAGAGTTCGTAATGGGAAGTACAGTTTATGACAGAAAATTAATCTATGCCTTCGAAAGGTCCCATATATCAGTACCTCCCTATATTCGGTATTTTGACGATTTTAGATACTATATTCACCGAAATGGTTTAAAATTTCGTATTTGAAGTTCGTAAAAGGTACTACATCCTGTTACAGAAATTATCTATGTAGCTCCAGGTCTTCGCATAGGCCCCTTATATTGGTACCTCCCTATATTCCGTATTTTGATTATTTAGCTACATTATTTATCGGATTTTTTTTCAAGTTTCGTATTTGAACATTGTAAGGGCTTAAGGTAAAAGTTGCCTATGCAGGTCCTCGTAAAGACCCCAATATAACGGCTATATTTGGAAGTTTTGAGATTTTTATTTTTTTTTTTTGAAAATTTTTAAATTCGTTCCAATTGTTAAAGGATGTATACATATGGACCGGAACTTGTTCGGGAGAGCCGATGCAGGTGGACTGGTTCGGGTTCTGCAAATCGTAGAGGAAACATTCGCTAAGCTATGCGGGTCGTGTACAATGGCACTAGTAAGCACAATAGTTTAGAACTACCTATACTCCACTACCAATATTTGAGCTATGATATGGAATAACGAGCCAAAGCCCCTGTGTAAACGAAATACTGGACACTCAATTTAATGATATCGATTTTGTTAGACGGAGGACAGAAAATGATTTAGAAAATCACTAGCCACCCCTTGGCGATCCCCTTGAGTAGTAGTTAGCCCCCTGCAGTAGCAAGCCCAAACCGAAGTCAATACTAATTATTCGCCTTATGTGCTAAGCGGCACATAGTCGAAAACTGAATTGTCCACTGAGCGACCAACTTCGTTATTAGTAATTTAAGTGTGATATTCTAGACTAGGTTCGGTAAAGGAGTTAACAAATAATACAATACGATTAGTTGATGGCCGAAAAATGGCTTGTGAGCTGAACATATCGCAATTCGGCAAATATTGAAAAATAAGCTCGGTAAGTAAGTAATAAGTAAAGCCATTAAAATTCCAAAAAGTGCAAGAACTTACACCGCAACAGAAAGAAAATAGACTCAAAAGAGCTAAAGATTGCTTCGCTTGGCCGAAAGTGGTGAACTGCCGAATTTGGTTTTCTCCGATGAGAAAACATTCGTTGTCCAGCAGTTTGTAAACAAACAAAATTATCGTGTTTACTTGCGAAAGAGGTCAGCTGAAAATATGCACTTTCGGTTGGCCACCAGAACTCAAGCGCCGGCCGTGGGGATAGTGGGGCTGCCATAAGAGCCGATGGTAGCTCTCTGCTCGTATTAATCGACCGTGGCATCAGAATAAATACCGAATATTATGGCGAAAATATTCTGGAGGGTGTACTAAAGCCTTGGGCACGCAAACATTTTGGCCTCAGACCTTGGACATTCCAAAAGGACTCAGCACGCGCCACCCAAGAATATTTACAAAAATGAGGTTCCTCGCTTCATATATAAAAATTTTGGCGACTGCCAAAAATTGCTTGAGAATATAATTATTAGGCATTTGTAGTTTTTCTCGGATGCTTAGGATATTTGTTTCTGCGGTGCTTCCGATATTTGCTTCTAAAGCGCAAGTTATGTAGTAATGGATCAGATCTTATAAAAACCAATCGAAAGTGTAAACGTGTTAAAATGATGGGCATTTCGGATTGTCACTATTTTATTGCAATTTTCGGTGCATTTATGCGATCAGCTAAACTATAATCGAAAAAGAAAATAAATTATATTGAAATAATTGTTATTGTTTTTATGTTAGTACCATTGTTTAAAGCCCAATAAATTAAGTTGAATTTAAAAACATTTTAAAATCAAAAACATTAATTTCGTAACATGGACTGGTTTATGCATTGATTTCATTTTAATTTAATTTCATTCAACATTCAAGTTCATTCGATGTCAATTCATTGTTTTTATTTTGAGATCGTTGCACTCGTGCGATTTGTTTATAAAAAAACAAAAATAAAGATCTCGTAATTCCACTAAAAGCCAGAGCATAGCAGCAAATAAATGTTAATGAAGACTGACTTAGTGACGCCAATGACCTTGAACAGAGATGTTAAACTTTCTCAGTCTTAGAATATTTAGATTCTTCATATTACACTGTGCAACACAAAAAATAGTTACGGGGATAATCCAGCAGATTATGAAAGTAGAGCTGAAAAAAAGAAGACACGTGTATCGGCGTTTTGAAACGTTTCATAGGAAAGTAATTAAAATAGTCCCCCCTCCCCCTCTTCAACACTTTTGGAAATGTTCGGATTAATATTTATCGGAATCCACGTATATTAGGTATATAATGTCTTTGGCAAATTTGGAGATCAAATAAGTTAAAAAGTAGTCAAATTGTTGACCCTCTATGGAGTAGGTTCCGAAGAAATGGGCCAATGTCCATTTCGTATCGGACCTAAATAAATATGATACAAATATGGCAACGTGCCAGGTTTGGACTATATCGAAAAATAATCAGAAATCTCATATGAACTTTAAATGTGCGTGAGATACCAGATATAATCGATCGAAGTATTCCATTTTCATACTTCATCTAATACAGATAAAAAATACAGGGTGAGATAAAAACACTGCAACAAAGTCAAACGCTATCAATTTTACATTTTTTGTTTAAATTTTATTGAATGAAAGCAAAAAATGTCGGTAATAGCATCACATTTTAGAATATGTTTAGATTTGTTCGAATTGGTCACCTTTGGCACGAATTATGGCCTTCAAACGGCCAATGAAACCGTCACACGCTGTCCGAATGTTATTAGGCGGTATTTTGGCCCATTCCCGGGGAAGCGCTTGCTTGAGGTGATCGATACTTTGGTAGTTTTTAGTGCTTTCCAAAATACTTCAGACACAATAGTCCAACGGATTGGTATCCGAAGATTTTGGTGCGTGCCCAAGGCTTTAATACACCTTCCAAAATATTTTCGCGATAATATTCGGCATTTATTCTGATGCCACGGTCGATTTATACGAGCGGAGAGCAACCATCGGTTGCTATGGCGGCCCACATCATCACATGGTCGGCGCTTGAGTTCTGGTGGGCAACTGAAGGTGCATATTTTCAGCTGACCTCTTTGGCAAGTAAACGCGATCATTTTGTTTGTTTACAAACTGCTGGACAACGAATGTTTTCTCATCCGAGAAAACCGAATTCGGCAGTTCACCACTTTCGACCAAGCGAAGCAACTCTTTAGCTCTTCTGAGTCTATTTTCTTTCTCTTGCGGTGTCAGTTCTTGACTTTACCCCGAGCTCATTTTTCAATATTTGCCGAATGGAATATTGCGATATGTTCAGCTCACGAGCCTTTTTTCGGCCTCTGCGACGCGGGTTTTGATCAAGTCGCTTCTTTACTTTTTGAACCATTTTTGCTGATATTGCTGTATTTTTTCCGACCACTTCCTTGACGTCGGGCTTAGCTACCAGTATCACGGTAACGAGCGATGGTACGAGACACTCGTTTCTTTTGAGAGTTTTGTTTTTCAATATCTTGAACCCTATGTGGGGGGGGGGTACCAGAAGAAATGGTCCGATTTCTACCATCTTGCTGGAAATATTGAGATGTACCAAGTCTAAATATAATCGGATGTTAATTTCGCGTTTTATGAGCTTCATAGAAATTCAACATTTTGACCCTTTGTGCGGGCGGTACCAGAAGGAATGCTCCGATATATTCCATCTTCACAGCAGATCTGGTGTTAGTGGAAATAATGGGATGGGTGTGAAATATGAAGGGAACCGGAAGCTTATTTCGCGTTTTATGATAGTTTTGATTATTCAAAAATTTGGCCTTTTATAGGGGAGGTGCCAGAAGGAATGGTCCGGTCTATATCATCTTTATAAAAAAATCTTGAGCTGATAAAAATATTATGATGTGCCAAGTCTGAATGGAATCGGATGCTAATTTGGCATTTTAATGATCTTCATGGATATTCAAAATGTTGACCCTTTGTGGGGGAGGTGCTTGATGGAGAGGACCGATATTGTCTATTTGCGCACCGAACCTAGCACTTATGAAAATATTAGGATTTGGAAAGTTGAAGGTATTAGAAGGAGTGGATCGATATTATTCAACTCCGAAGTCGATCTAAGGCTGATAATAATGTTGCGATGAACCATGTTTGGACCAAATCGGATATTCCCTTCGAGAGTGGTCATGTCTACCAGCCAGCTAGACGGACGGACATAGCGAGATCGACTCCACGTGTCCTAAAACGGATTTGGTCCAAAGAGACCTAGGGTCTAAAATCGTTATTTCGATGAGGTACGTTTTGGCCGTATTAAATGATGTATACTCCCATCCAGCCAAAGAGACAGACGGACGGACGGAGAAAACCTTTAAATCGATTCCAAATGTCCTGAAACGGCTTTGGTCCAAAGAGACCTAGGGTCTAAAATCGTTACTTCGATGAGGCACCTTTTGGCCGTATCAAATGATATATACCCTCTTTAGACATATGGCTGAGGGTATAATAATCCTCGTATGTCAATAATGTTTTCTTTCAGATATAATTGTTTTATTTTCGTTCTAAAAAGGACATTCTGTAACTTTACCATGACTCTTAACAACTAATTTCAGACTTTGGGTTAACATACGCCTTCGCTTCAATGGATACCACTGGCCAAGGCACCACCAAAAGCGGTAAAGAAGAATTTAAAATGTTTCAAAAATTCAGCATGGGGATCCACCTCGGCAACATGATCACTTAGTTCTTTGCCCTCTTCGACGGCATCCTTGTCGAAGTCGATGTAACCGCCCGAGTAAGTTGAGGGTTTTTTATTGACATAAAAACCGATTTCTTTTTTCCCCAGGACAACGCCATTTTTCTTGGCATAAATGCCAATCTGTTTGGAAAAGTCGCTATTGGAGGGCACGTCGGCATCCTCTTCGCCATAACCTTTGGCTTTTTCCGGGACGTACTCATTGGAGGCGGGATAATTACTGGCATAGCTGGAGGGTTTCTTGTCGACATAAAATCCGATTTCTTTTTTCCCCAGAAGGAGACCATTTTTCTTGGCATAAATGCCAACCTCCTTGGAGAAGTCATGGTGGGCATTGGCACCAGCAACACCTTCACTATAAGTCTTGGAATCGAGATTACCACTGGCGTAGGTGGAGGGGGTTTTGCCGGCATAGAAACCAATCTCCTTTTTGCCAAGGATGCCATTTTTCTTGGCATAGATGCCAAAATATTTCTGGGGAAGGGGTTTGAAGTAGGGGATTTGCACCTGTGGCTGTTGTTGTTGCTGCTGCTGATGTTGTACAGTGTGGTGGGGATGCTGATAAAGAGGTGAGGGTGCGGGCTGCTGAATTGTTTGTTGATTGACATAACTCCCATGGGAATAACCATTTTGATACTGGCCTCCATAACCCGTAGCCTGGGGATTTTCCTCCGCATGAAGCACATTGACATAGCTCACCGATCCAACTGCCGGCTGAGGGTATTGTTGTTGTTGCGGCTGCTGTTGATGTATAACTCGAACCACATTTGGCTGCGATGGTTCCGGTATTACCTTGATGATTTTGTAATTCTGGGTGGTTGTTGTTGTTGTTTGTGGTGGCAAATATTGTTGTTGTTGTTCTTGGGGTTGATGAAAGACCCGAAATGTATAAGCCCTTGGAGTATTATCAGCAATAGGCGCAGGGGCTTGAGGTATTGGGTACTGTGGTGGTGGTGGTGGAGCTTGTTGAGGCTGATAATAGTGGCCAGCTTCCAGAAAACCCGCTGAACTTTTAGCCACCCAAACGGCAAATAAAACGAAGTAAATCTGAAATTTTTTTTAGAAGGAACCAATAAATATTTCAAAATTAATTTATGTTTTTCTTTACCTTCATTTTGTTTTCCAATTTTCCTATGCCTTGTTGTCTACACCAAAAACTGCAGTATAACCTCTTATAGCAATGTTTCCAAAATAAAACTGAAATCCGTCCGATGGTCGCTTCGACGTTATATAGATAACTAATATAAATTTTAAATTTCATTTGGAAACACCAACACCAAAGCTAATCAACGCCATCAGCTTCATCACCAGCTGCAGCATCATCTTCAACCTTCAAACATCGGCATAATGCAACTGGCTGACTGTCTGTCTTTCGATCCATTTGGATGACTGCAAACTATCTAATTTGTTTTATGTGTTTTTGGGTCGATTTTATGATTGTTTTTTTTTTTTTTTTTTTTTTGTTAAACGGGTTCAAACGGGCATTGTTAATGAAATACAGACACGCATGCGCACACATACATGCTTGGGTATTTTGTGTGTTTCACGCTCACAATTGTATGGCTTTTTGTCTATTTTATTTTCAAATTTGCCATTTACCATCGATTTTCGAAGTAAACAAAACCAACCAAAAAAAAAAAAAAAAAAAAAAAAAAAACTGGAATATCTTCCAGCTGTTTGTGCTGTGGCCCACAAAAAAATATGATAATTTTTTCCATTTTGTTATGATGTTCGAATTCATAGATTGTGGTAGGTTAGTTACCTATTGGAATATCTGTCCGGTTTTGGGTAGAACTTGTCATTTTGATAAATATATTCATGAAGAATTAAAGTGGACATAGATTGAGTTGATAGATGCGTCATGTAGATCTACTCCAATCAGCATTGCATAGAAATTACACTGTGCGACAAAATCCATTTTTTCCAATATTTCAGTTTTGCCGACAGATACATACCGTCAGCCAATGTTCGATTATTTAAATATATTTTGATTTTTGTTATGATTATTCAAATTGTTGGATCTCTGTGGAGTAGGTTCTGAAGGATAGGAAGGGAAGGGACCTAAATAAATATGATATAAATATTGTGACGCCCCAGGTTTGGACTATATCGACTACTTCCAAAGACCTAAAATGGTAAAGACTAGACAAAATGCATTCTGAGAAAAATGATTTGTGTCTATACTACCTAGACAACAGCTCACGACAGGACTATGTTCATATAAAAACACAATTACAGAAGGGAATAACAAACAAGAGTTTGAAAAATCCAAAAATTGGGTTTCAAAATTCTATTCCATAGACTTTCCAAATTAATTGCATATTGCATAAGCGGTTTAAATCGCATAACATTGATAACTATGTTGTTACGATATCATAACAACTTGACTCTGTCTTGTCCCATCTTTATACTTCTATGTCTTTGCTACTTCCTTCACTTTATATGAGATTTGTGATAATTATTTTAGAAAATGTTAAAATGTCTGGCACATTTACCAGATATAGTCGACCGAAGTATTCAATTTTCACACTTCATCTAATACAGATAAAAATATCGAACATTTATATCCGATTTCGAAATAATAACTTCTATAAAAGATAAAAGTATTGACAATTGTGGTCCTTTGTGGGTAAGATACCAGAAGGAGTTCGCGGGTATATATCATCTTCACAACAGATCTCGCGCAAGCAAAAATGTTTGGATGTGTGAAATTTGAAGAGATTTTGATGATTATTTCGCTATCTGTGAACGTTTTATTTTTCAAAATCTTGAACCCTTTGTGAGGGAGGTACCAGAAGAAATGGTCCTGTCTCTACCATCTTTATAACAGACCTTGAGTTGATGGATCTTATGTTCTATCTTATGTTTGTAGAAATAATGGCATATGTGAAATATGAAGAGAAACGGATACTTATTTCCGATTTTATGATCATTTTAGTTGATCAAAACTTTGACTCTTTGTGGGCGAGGTACCAGAAGGAATGGTTCAATCTCTATCATCTTTATAGCAGATGTTGTGTTGATAAAAATATTGACATTTTTCAAGTCTGAATGGAATTGGATGTTAACTTTGCGTATTCATGGATTTTCAAAATTTTGATTTTGATTGTGGGGGAGGCACCAGAAGGAGTGGAGTGTGACATATGAAGAGAACCGGATGCCGGGAAGGTACCAGAGAAAGTAGTTCGATCTCCACCAACATTATAACAAATCTTGTGCTGATAGGGATATTGAGATGTGCCAAGTCTGAAGGGAATCGGATGTAAATTTTGCGTTTTATGATCTTCATGGATGTTAAAAATTGTGATCCTTCGTGGGGAATGTACCAGAAGTAGTGGACTGATATATCCAATCTTCACAGCGGACCTTGGGTTAATAAAAATAGAAAATAGAGTTATAGTTATTAAAAATTTTTGACCCTATGTGAGGGGAGGTGCCGGATGGAATTGACCGATATTGTCAATTTTCTCACCTGACCCAGGACTAATGCAAATATTAGAAGTTGCAAAGATGGAGAATAATTGGAATATCCTTCTCTAAAATAAATAAATTAAATTATATTCTTTAATCATGTTGCAATTTTGTGGGTGAGGTACCAGAAGGAGTAGACCAATATTCCCCATCTCCGAACTCGATCTACGTTTGACAATAATTTTACAATGTACAAAGTTTGGATCAAATCCAGATGCAAGAGACAGATGGACGGACATCGCTAGATTGACTCCAAATGTCCTGAAGCGGATTTGGTCCAAAGAGACCTAGGGTCTAAAATCGTTATTTCGATGAGGCACTTTTTGGTCGCATCAAATGATATATACCCTATCTATGACTGAGGGTATAAACAAAATACTTGACAGGGTCTTACGGATCCATTGCAATCCACTTTTATGCGGTTTATCTTTTGTAATGACGGTTGGTTTTAAAATGTAATGTGGGACGGGTTTTACTTACTATTGGCAACGACTGTTGTGTATTACAGGCAGAAATTTTTGAGATTAAAAATGTCATAGATCTATTGGCACACACGAACAGTGCAATTAACGATCCGGTGACATAATACTTCAAGCGACACTGAAGGCTCTAAAGTCTTGAAAATGCTGGGTTGTCCGTCATTTTCCCAGGTAATGAGGCAGCAGATGAATTGACAAAATGATCCGAATTAATAAAAATTAAAGTTGGGAATTCGGTTAGACCACTCTTGGGCCACTTCTTTTGTGCGATGCACGAACACTACTCCGGGAGATTCCAACAAAAATGGTTAGATAAGAGGGGTGTAATGTCCCTAAGATAATTTGACTTATATTCTCAGAGAAGAGAACAATATCCATGATCTCCTGGACTAAAACTTGTGGTGGGTTCATCGCAGGTCACTGTAGCGTGAGATCCATAACTTTTAAATTAAGTAGAGACGATTACAGTAGGCTCTGCCAAAATGAGGAAAAAATTGAGACAGTTGAACATTTACTCCTCCAGTCTCTGATCAATGTGAGACACAGCCTTGTAGAAGAGCAAATTGTGTATTATTTGTTGATGATACTACATTCTTTAACATAGAACCATCAGTATTTTTTCGGCTAGATATAAGGCTAAACTGACTGAAGACGACACGATGAATTATTCGTCGTGGATTACTATTTCTTTATTATATTACAGGGAGAGATAAAAACTGTAACAAAGTCAAACGCCACGATTTTTACATTTTTTTTTAAATTTTATTGAATGAAAGCAAACAATGTCGGAAATAGCATCAAATTTTAGATTTGTTGGAATTAGTCACCATTGGCTCGAATTATGGCCTTCAAACGGCCAATTAAACTGTCACACACTGCCCGAATGTTGCTCTGCGGTATTTTGGCCCATTCCCGGCGAAGCGCTTGCTTGAGGTGATCGATACTTTGGTATTTTTTAGTGCCAACCTTGCTTTCCCAAATACTCCAGACACAATAGTCCAACGGATTGGTATCCGGAGATTTTGATGGCCATTGTGCGCTGGAAATGAAGCGACGAATTTCATTTTGTAACCATTCTTGGGTGGCGGTGAATCCTCTTAGAATATTCAAGGTCTGAGGCCAAAATGTTTGCGTGCCCAAGGCTTTAATACACCCTCCAGAATATTTTCCCCGATAATATTCGGCATTTATTCTGATGTCACGGTTGATAAATACGAGCGGAGAGCAACCATCGGCTGTTATGGCGGCCCACACCATCACCATGGCCGTCGCTTGAGTGTCTGGTCTGGTGGCCAACCAAAGGTACTCTTTTTCAGCTGACCTTTCGGCCAAGCGAAGCAATTCGTTTGAGTTTATTTTCTTTCTGTTTCTGGTGTAAGTTCTTGCAAGCTCATTTTTCAATATTTGCTTAGTGGAATATTGAGATATGTTAATCTCGGGAGACATTTTTCGGCCACTGCGACGCGGGTTTCGATCAAGTTTTCGAACCATTTCTGCTGATGTGCTGTTTTCTTCATTCCACTTCCTTGACGTCGGGCTGCGCAACCAAAGATTAATTCACATTAAAATGCTGGAGTGCTCTAACGACAGCCACTTATGGTTTTCCAGCCAAATATAAAGAAATCGCACTATCACGCTTGAATTCCATAACGAATAACTTTTTTTCTGGAAAATTCTCACTAAAATGCTTTTGTACCCTTATAAACAGCAGATCAAATTATTCCAGTGACAGAATAAAAGCTGTCGGACGAGTGGCTTAGAAATAACAGCAGTCTGAAGTTAATTGCAGTTTTTTCATCTCAACCTGTATATTCTGTGGAAATTAATCTAGCTTCCGAACGAAATGAAGTAGGTTAATAATATTTTACCCAGATGTATATTATGTCTGCAGGACTTTTGGTATTGAAAATGGGTCATGTAGGTCCACGCCTTTGTATAACCCCCGATATACGGCATTTTGATGATTTAAGCGACATTATTCACCGGAATTGATTTAAATTTGGTATTTGAAGTTCGTAATGGATACTACAGCCTAAGACAGAAAATTGTGTGTCGGACCACGTCTTCGTATAGCCCCATATAATGGTACCTCCCGATATTCGGTATTTTGATGATTTTTGCTACATTGTTACCGATTTTTTTTTAAGTTTCGCATTTGAATATTGTAATGGCTTATGACAAATGTTACCTATGCAGGTCCATGACGTCGTAAAAATTTTTTGTTTTTTAGAATTGCCAAATTCGTTCCAAACGGTGGAGGGTATTCAAAGTTCGGCCTGGCCGAACTTACAGCTTTTTTACTTGTTTTTTTTTTTTTCGAATGGTATATAAAATAATTCGAATGTCAATGTTGATTTTCAAACTCATAGTCTTCGGTTTTTTAATAGGACACCTAACTTACATTACTTGGTAATGAGGAAAACAAGTTAAAAATTTAAATGTAGGTATTTGTATTT